GTGTGATAGAATGTGTTGGGTTGGGTTTTGAGGTCAATGGTTGGAAGAAAATGAACTTTTTATTTTTTCAATTTCTTTTTTTCTTTTTGAGTAGAGAAAGTCATTGACGAAATTGCTCTTTGAAATAAAAATAAAATAAGGACAATTGCATTGCATGCACAAAATTACGATGGAACTATTTGCGCCAAAAATGAAAATGTTTGAGATCACTTATGCCGCCACATTCGAAAGGTTTGGACCAAAAATACAATTTGGACAAATGTTTAAAACCATTTGCGCCAATTTTCCTAATAAAATTGTGTTACAAACTTACAACTTGAAACTGATTTTGAGACTACATCTTGTAGTTGGTAAATTTGTGACGTGTGAGTTGTTAATGTACCCATGGGCACAACGACAAGGAAGATGCAACTAAGTTCATTTTTGTTTTGAAAAAGTAATTTCAACTAAATATTGATAAATTATTTTGGACATAAATTCGGACTTCTATAAATTTTTTTGATAAAGATAACTTCATTTTTATTTACATTTTAAAACCAAAAGATTTGAAGAATTCTTAAATTGAAAAATAACATTTATATATTTACTCATATCTTCACGTGATAAAAACTTTCTGGTCCATGATTGACTTATGTCGCTAAATGTTTCAAAAAACTAGCGTCATTAAATTTTATAAAAATAAAAAAATAGATAGATTTAAAATGAATTATTACTAAGACGGAAATAAACTTTATTTACTAAGTACTCTAAATATAAGCTATGGGCCAAGTTTATATATCATTTACAAATGATCAAACTTATTTAGGCCATGGAGGACTAACATGGCGAACTGTTAGTTTTCGGATACGAAATATTCATCCTAGTCATTATGGGCGTATTTGCATAGCAATCAGAATTTGACCTCATGAGGATTAAAGAGAGGAGGAGGATGTTATTTTCAATAACACGTTGCTATGAATCCACTTATTCTTCACTCATTTATTTATATATAAATTAAACTATTTTTAAACTCTTCTCAAGCGCAGGTTAAGATATTTACTTTAGTCTCAAAGTCCAAAAAATAAAAGCAAAAAGGTCAACGTGACCGGATTTAAAAAAAAAAAATTAATACAATTTTTTTCCCTTAAAAATCTTAAAATGCTAAAAAGGAGAAATAACAATGTTTATGTAATTTTTAAAATTAGATGGATGATTATATAATAATATGTTTATATAATTTTCATAATTAGAGGGATGTGTGTATAATTTATATGAGAAAAAAATGTTACATGAAAGATGGCATTATTACATCCTTAAAATGGGAATTTCTTATTTTTCTATAATGGGTTAGTTGCATGAAAATATAAAAAAGAAAAAAAGATACAAATATAGGAAGACGTTGCCGTCAGCGTCGCTAGCGCCCGATGTTTCCCTCCACCCTTTTTGTTTGCCTTAAATTTCCTTCAACTTATCCGTAATTTCATCCTCAAATTCATTTCTTGGTTCATTCTCCGACCCGGGTTTTTCCAAGGTAACGTCCTCAGACATTTCTACAGACTGTATTTTAAGATTTGTATCAAAATGGTATTGGATCAATTACTCAAGTTTTGGGTTGCTTCGATGGTATGTTAATAGCTTATTTTCTTATGGAAAATTTAAGTATAATTGCTTGTGTGCTCCATAATTTTGAGTGAGTTTATAGTTTCTTGAAATGGCAATGCTGAATCACTGATGGGTTCTTTTTTAACTTTTATATACTTCTTTTTAATTAGAATTTAGTTGCTTTAGATTCCCTGAATATCTTGCAATGAATACAGAGGAATTGTGATAAAGGATCCAAGCAGCGGACCCCAAAGTAATTAAGAACCAGGCTTAATTTGTTGTTGTATATACTTTTTTAGTGTGCTTATTTCTTGATTGTATACAAAGATTTTTGTTCTTTTCCTTCTAAAGAAGAGTATGTTTTAGGCTTTTAAAGAAAATATGAATCCAGCCCGTACCTGAGGGCGTATTGAAAGGTTAAATTTATCTCCTTTCGAACAGTTTAAACTTTTAGACAAGTTGATTTGACAATATACCTGCGTTCGTGAATCTGGAACTCTATTTCTGGGAATTTTCTACTGACATGTCTAATTGTATATGTAGAGAATTTGAGCCTTTTCTCCTAATGCCCATTTGACACTGCATTATGAAAATTTTCATTTAACAGTCTTACATTTGTATACTACGTGCACTATTAAGTTTTTACTTTCATTTTATGACAGATTCATGCACTATAACATGCTGGAACTATGGGATGGTTACATTAATCTATCAAACAGAATAAAGTTTAGGATGTCTCCGTATATCATTTCCAAGGATGAGTTTTTTTAAATGAGGGCACAGAGCAACTTATTCAGTTAGATAGATATGGCTAAGTTTTTGCGGCTAATTATAGTGGTTCTGATCAGAACCAATTGGAGAAAGATGTTTGTTGTTGGTGCAATTCTTACAATATGTAGTGTTGTAATACAGATTTCTTCACTTCCTTACCCACTGAACCAATGGATTTTACCACGAACCACGAAAATTTCCTCCTACAAACATTTGAACACTGCAACACACTTGATTGAAAATCACCCACTATCTGTTCAAGATGCCCGGGCAATTGCTTCACTTAATTATTCAGCAAATTTGAATCACTCAGCGGTAATTTCCAATGAGCAGCAAAGGGTTTCTCGACGGAGAAGGAGAAAACACCATATGGAATCGACTATGGATACTCCACCATCACCACCTTATATTGTTAGAAAACTGCCTGATCACTTGGTAAGTTCTTTATTCTTCTCATAAAGATTTTGGAAATTTCAATTATTTCAGTTACCTCTTTTCCTCAAGATTTTCAATATATGCAGAGGCACGTATTGTCATTGACACCAGATGAAGCACTTGCATTTGCCAAAAGAGAAATTGAAAATGCCCCAATCGTTAGTGAAGATCCTGAACTCTATACTCCCCTATTCCGAAATATTTCTACTTTCAAAAGGTATATCTCACTATACTTGTGTAATTTTTCGTTTTACTGATTATATACTCTTGGTGAATTTTCATTAGGTGGTGTTAATTAGTACCTCAGTAGATACTAACTTGAACAATACATGAAGTAAGTTGTAGCTTTATTAGTTTTAAAACTAATGATATTTATTGAAGATACAACTTGAACTTGACTATGCATTGATAGGAACATGCAAGCTTTTTACCTTTCCAAGGATTTCGATTTCGCAGATTATGATTTTTCAAATACATTTTCACTCTCTATCTAATGGCTAAAGAAATTCAAAGAAACTCATTACCCACCTCTATTATACACTCTTAAAAGTTTTAGTTCATGGAGCAATATTTCTCATTCAGATTTCTTATGAGATAGTTGTAAACTGTTAACTGGATCATGCACTCAGATGTGGTGGCGAAAAGGCTTGCAGAAGCTGAGATGATTCTGTTGCAGGCTATTATATTACTGTTTAGTTGACTTTCATTTATTCAATTGACTAGCAGCAGTATTAGTCCTTTTATTCACACTTTTCACAATTTTGCTGTTCTGCTTGTTTCAGTCCATCCACTAGTATTTACTCCCAACTTTTTAGACAGAAATTGTTTATTTCAGCATGAATTTCCTCTTTTTCCAATATATACAGACACTGCCTGAAAACAACGGTTCCTATATCAATTTATGCTTTGAAATCAGTGTTCATACTGCATCGTTGAAGAATGCTGTCTCCCATTTATGGGTTTTCTTGAGTCCAATTTTTACATAGAATGTTTATATCTATGTCCAGTATTTCACATATGATTTATTTCAGGAGCTACGAGTGGATGGAATACATACTAAAAGTTTACATTTACCAAGAAGGGAATAGGCCTATTTTTCACGACCCTCATCTCATAGGAATTTATGCATCTGAAGGATGGTTTATGAAGTTAATGGAAGAAAACAGGCAATTTGTAACAAAGGATCCAGAAAAGGCTCACTTATTTTATCTTCCGTATAGTGCACGCCAGTTAAAATCGGCTCTTTATGTCCCCAATTCACATAATCTTAGGCCGTTGTCAATCTTCCTGCGGGACTATGTGAATATGCTAGCGGAAAAGTATCCTTTCTGGAACCGTACTCATGGATCAAATCATTTTCTAGTTGCTTGCCACGACTGGGTACGGTATCTTTATGACATGTACATGTATACACGTACTAAATATGAGCTTCTTATACTTGGCCACTGATTGTTATGGATTAAGCTCTAACCCCAATTACGAGAGCAATAATAAGCAGTGCCAAAAAATAGCAGAACACAAGCATACAGATTTATACTGGTTGACTCTCAATGTGAGAGGTATAGCCACTTGCCGCCGCGGAATTTTAAGTACAATGAGGAAGAGATTACAAGGTTTTCACGTTCAAATGGCGCTTTAGGAATCCCTGTAACAGCATACTGCATAATTTAGCCATTACACTGTAATTAATTTCTCTAATAGAAATGTCTGCCTGTTTCTGTTTCAGTTTCATTTCTTCCGTTAATTTCGCTAGTGTTATATTTTTAGTTACTCTCCCCTTTCTCTCATGTCCAGTCTATTTCATTATTACTCGCAGGGACCGTATACATTGAAGGAGCACGAGGAACTTATAACAAACACGATAAAAGTTATCTGCAATGCAGATGCCTCAGAAGGAATCTTCAAAGCTGGAAAAGATGTTTCCCTGCCAGAAACTCTTGTAAAGAATCCCCGAAGGACTCATAGAAATCTTGGTGGAAAAAGAGTGTCACAACGGCCAATTCTTGCTTTTTATGCCGGGCATATGCATGGTAGGGTCCGTCCCATACTTTTCAAGTACTGGAGTGACAAAGACGAGGACATGAGGATTTATGGGGCTTTGCCAAATAGAGTATCGAGAAATATGTCTTATACCGAACACATGAAATCAAGCAAATATTGCGTATGCCCAATGGGGTACGAAGTGAACAGCCCGAGGATTGTTGAGGCCATATACTACGAGTGCGTCCCAGTTATAATTGCCGATGGTTTTGTCCTTCCTTTCGATGATGTACTCAACTGGAATGCATTTTCCGTCATTGTTGCTGAAAAGGATATCCCAAAGCTGAAAGAAATACTCTTAGCTATCCCTTTGAGACAATATCTAACCATGCAAACCAATGTGAAAATGTTGCAGAAGCATTTTCTCTGGAACGCAAAATCAGTTAGATATGATCTGTTCCATTTTATTCTACATTCAATTTGGAATAGCAGACTTAAGCAGATTCAGATACCACAGCCCTCATAATTACCGGTGCCTTTTTTCTTGCGTGGGTTCTACTGCTGAAGGTATAACCAATTTAAAACGAAATGCTGAGCAGATGTGAAATCTTTCAGGTAAAGAACCCCGGGTATCAACATTTGTCTCAGACTTACAACTACTGGAACATAAATCTGAATAGGTCTGCTGATCATATTTTCTTTGCACTGGCAGCAGCATCCTGTATGCTGAGTTATCCTCCCAGATTACGTACTGTCAATTGCTTCTCTCTTTGATTTGTACATCCTTTCTACACAGCTCAAGTGGAAGATGGTAAAAGTGATTGCTCAATACATAGCATTTTAGACGTGTATAGATTTTCTTTCATGTTTACACGTACTTTTTGACAGTTGCTTTAGAACATGTAGTAGATCTAAGAATGAACAAATGGAGTGGCAGAAAGGATTTATGTAGCCAACCCTAAATTTATTAGGAATTAGGCTAGTTGTAATAGTTGTTTACACAAGCTTTGTGAAAATAGAACTAGTTTGTTACACAATATCGACAAGATTTTTTAACTTCTTTTTCTTTCTTAATATTGTTTACTTGCTGTCTAATTAATAGTTTGTATAATTGTTTGTCTATGAGAATAAAGTAAATAACCTTAATTTATAGAGTGGTAAATGACTATAAAATGAAATTCTACAAGGATGAAATCCGTAGAGATCATGAAGATGTTTACAAATTAATAGAAACTATAAATTAGGTAAAAACTGAGACAGAACAATGAAGAGAAAATAGATATTGAAACTTTATTGTACACGAATCACACAGAATTACCTTATGTACAAGAATTACAAATAATTATAAAAGAAAATATTCTGCACTAACTGTATAATCAAATGTAGGGCAATAATCTATAATATCCGAACGATATTTTTACTCCGTAGATTGTAATTCTTTCTACTTTTCGAGGAATAATACAATGTTGGACTTGAAAGCATTGGCAGGCAAAATTTCCTTCAGAAATCCCCATCAAGTTCAAGAAATTGGTTTACCTATTCAGATCCATAGTTTCATCAACTGAGAAGTCAAAGAATTCTTCTATATCGAAGCTCAAGCATGTTGTACCTTCACTTTCTTGATCATCTGCATCTTCTGTCCCACAACTATCCATTGCATTAATCTCATGCACAGTTGAAGAATTTTCGTTGCTCTCTCCATTTGGTTTAGTTTCTTGCTCCAATGAGAATGCCAGTAATTCTTGATCTCATCAAGTCTCCCAGCAATCAAGGACTACATATTCACCAAAAGAGTTTCCAATTAAATTAAGCATTGTTTAGAACTTCATACATAATCCATGAAGATTGTATTTAAATAAATAAATTGAACGGTCCTCCAAATGTCTAACAAGTTAAACTTTTAGATGGGTAATTGAATGTGATGTCAACAAATTTATTGTTCTGAATATCATATACTGGTCCAAAAGGAGGGGGAAATTATTGAAAATACCCTTAATTCAACCATACCCTTTCCAAAATACCCCTTTTTACTATTCAACCTTAAAACTACCTAAAATACCCTTAAAATAAAAAGTTTTAAAACAAGTCATTTTAGTCCTTAAACTTTAAATCTAATTTTGGATTCGACAAAATTGTTTGCCCCTTGCAATAAAAAATTAACTTTTCTTCACCATCAACTCTTTCCACCTATCTTGAG